TTATGATGACCTGATATGTGGCATACTATGAAGTAATGTTATTTCAACCCACTGGTGGTGTTTACAAATTAGGGATGTATTACAATCTAGATGATCACTCTTAAACCACTACACTTTGGTTTGGTGTTACACAAGTCACAATTTCTTTTATGCCATTTCTCTCAGGGGTCAAAAGGAAATGTTTTCTAATAATGCTGAAGACTATTAACAGAGTTGGCATTTGTATAATTCCTGAACTTACCAATATTTAAAAAAAAAAAATCCAGAATTTACCAAAAGTCAGTCTCCTGTGTAACTGTTCGTGTTATCCTGAAGGGGTGGGCAGAGTAGCATAGGAGGAACAGAGAGAAGAGTCGACGGGGTCAAGCTGACACTTCCTAAGCCTGCCAACAACAAAAGCCTTCCAACAAGTGGGAATTCTTCTAAACCCAAAGATACAGGCCAACCCCAAACATCTGGTAGCAGGACAGCTGGTCCTGGCATGAGCATTAACAACTCTGCTGAATTACAGCCAAACAGCCCAACCAAAGCATACCTTAACAGCATTTAACTGTCACTTTATTTCAAAGGCACTTATGGGGATTACATGGTGGTGAGGAGCTATCCCTCCAAATGGATAACATCAGTTGATACAATTAGTAGCAATGCATCAATCCACTTTTTCCTACTTTTGTTAGGTTAGCAGTGCCCTGTCTTAGGGTACCTGCAGATGTTGAGCACAGATCTGATACCAGCATTTAATGAATGAGCTACATTCGTCACCGAAGCATACAGGTCAACATCAAATATTTTCTGTTTATCATATTTTTTTGCTCTAGTCTCATTTCAGCTTAAAATCACTACTAAAGTTGTCCCAGTTTCTCCTTTTTCTGCTTTCAGTCTTACTGATAATACAACTCCACACACACATACACATTTGTATCGCATGTGGACTGAAACTGACATGAAAGAGGTGAAGTGAAATTCTATCAATCGAGTTGATCAACAGACACTATGCTACAGTGAGTGCAATGAAAACTCCCAATAAGTGATACAACTGTTAGAACCTACGAGACAGTGCCACAGAGCGAAAGGAGCTGTCAAAAAAGAAAACAAAGTCATCTGAACGCTTCAGTTGAGCCAGTTGACCACAGTAAAGCCACAAACTACAGTAGGGCAAAGATTAAAATAAAGCTGCTGGTACTGTTACTCTGAAATACCACCTGTTAGTTTTCTCAATGCAAGATCAGATTACCTATTAATAACTACTGATGACTTTTGGCTTAGCCAGCAGAGGACTGAATTAAATAGATGGTTCAATAGATAAGCTGTTGTCACCATCACACTAGTCAAGATCAGATCGATATACAATCCAAATATCATATTCCTTTGTCTACAAAACCAGTACAATCAGTACAACTTCAAAACTTCTATTCCTTTCTACTCATACTGTGTATGGAAAAAGGCCATAACACAAAGTATCATTACTGTTATCCACAGTATCCATGTACATCAGTACAGAAATGTCCATGATGTGTTTGAGAAATATAGAACGTGTCCAATTTGGTGTACTAAAAACAAAAACTAATGAGAAACATATTATACAAGAGTAACTACAACATCATCCATTAGATGCTGGTCAATGTCCTTTGGGACTCATAGTTTCCTTCTCTCTTCCTCTTCCCTTGTTTCCTAGATTAAGACTGAAAAGCAAGTCTGTGGAGAACAGGCCAAGATTACTTTTTTTTTTTTTTTTTTTTAAAGTCCCTACAATCTACAGTGAGATCTAACTCAAAAACATAATACAATACATGCAGTTAACATGGAGCAAATCTGCATTCACCTTAATGGACTTAATGACTAAGTCCATAATTAATTTCTCACTGTAACACTGTCTGATCTTTCAGATCAGGTGGTAAAGAATGAAGCTGCTTGCTCTACGGCTGCTGCTCAATATACCAGCTTTTAACGATTTGCACTGCCTCAACTCTTCATTTAATCTCCAGAGTTTTAGACGGATGTCGTCCTTATAGGAGCTGCTGAAAAACACAGCATATACAAGAGACATGAGTCAGATACCCATCACCAGACACACTGCTGCTTTCAGCCCACTTTCAATTAGGACTGAATAGTGACTCAGTGCAGCCAGCACAGCAATGCATCTTAACAATGTCCTCTAGTGAATAACCTTATGTGTGCACGCACACATGCACACACACACACTTACCCCTTACTCCCAGGGCTGCAACATTTCAGAAGGTTTCCCACGGCAACCCAACCTAACCAAACTATTATATTTAGCCTAAGAATTGCACCAAAGTTATCTGAAGTAAAGCACAATCAAAATTAAATCAGTGTGTGTAAGACACAGGCAGCCACTATGTAAAAATCACACGCACTGTTTGACAACAGGAAAAGATAAAAACTGCGCAATGTGTAGACTCGACCCAGGCACGTTTAGCCAAATGATTAAGGCCTGTCGAAAATGGTAAATAGTAAATGGACTGGTTCTTATATAGCAATTTTCTGCTCAAGCACTTTATACAACATGGCTCATTCACCCAATTACACCTATTCACACAAGCATGTTTTTCTATATCTAAGTGCTTCCTATCTAACATTCACACACATTCATACTCTGATGAATTAGAATCAATCATCAGAATCAGAACATATTATTAATGTATTTAGTCCCAGAGGAAATTTTTCAGATAATTTCCTCTGGGACTAAATAAATCGGAGAGCAACCTGATAATAGAGGACCTGCTCTACCTCACGAGGTGCAACTAAACTAAACCCTCAGGGGTCATCACAGCAGAGGGATCCACATATTTGTATTGGCGAAGTTGAAGCTCCCCTCTCAGGGATTTGTGCCTCCTCCCAGTCAAGGACTGGGGATCTTTTGCTCGTCAGGTAGTCACTACACTACACTCAGGCAGTTCACTGTTAAGTTTATAAAGATCTCAGATGAAAAGTAAGAAGTGAAACAAAAGTTAAGTTGATGGGATTTTTTTTTTTTAGTTAGCATGAACAAGAGTCTCCTGATGCTATTAGGCTAACCTTCATTTAAATCAAATCAAACCTGAAGCTGTAATTTTTAAGCAGCCTTCTGATAAAAACAAAACAAAACACAACAACAAGTCAGTAAATGTGAATTCTCCTGCCTACTGCATTTATTCAAGCAGCTCCTTTGACTAAAGCAGACTCCCAGCACTGTTTGGACTGCCAGCCAAAATTTGGCTGAAATTAGAGGGATTCATTTAAGGCTGCAGATTTCTAATTTCAGTCCGGTGTAGACAGCTGTTTGTTGTACACTTTCAAAACCTTAAAATATGAAACGCTCAGTTGTCTGCCAAGGTCAGTGTCCTCTCACCTCGTTTCAGGGTTATTCAGAAGCAAACAATCATGTGTGCGAGTGAGACAGAGAGGAGAAAAAAAAAGGCACAAAAGCTGATGACACAAGTGGATAAAGAAAGACGATGAGAGATATTAACCGACACTGCATCTCAAACATGACATAAGTGCCAATAACGGTTTCCTCTAAAGAAATCTTGCTAAGTTAAAACTTCTGACTATGATTTGCAAGCCGTGGCTTATTCCAGACTTCCCGTTGTGTGATAGAAGGCACATTTTATAGAGACAGACAGATGTGTATTTGCGTCTTGATATGCATCTTTTAATATTACAGTATGTGATGCTCAGCATGCACAGGAAAGCCCAAGCAGACAGCCACATACTTAGTTATTTCCCATTTCACTGCAGGACCAATAAGTAGGGCCATGATACTGTCTGATAGCGATTTTTGCCAGTCTGCAAAAAATGACATTTAATGGGTGGATTTTTTTTGGCTTGCCCTTCAGAGCGATAAATCGGTATCTGCTTTCCATGGTAAGACGAAGTGCCTTGCTCAATCTTTGATATGGCAGTGATAAAAATGACTGACTTTTATTTACTTTACAGTTTTGCAACTAGGAGGCTTCTGCAGCACAATCATATCTAGTGAACCACAACGAAGAGGAACATCGTTTTTCATGGTTGAAGAACTTCTTCCTCAGCAAGAAAAAAGCAAAACAAAAAGAAGAAAGAAAAAAAACTACTTAAAAATTTGTATTCACCAACTTTAAGGGTCTACTGATCAAATCAGTCATGCAAAAATGCAATCTATTTTAAAGCCCTGAACCCACAGGCAAATGTTATTAACCTTTCAATGTAAATCACACGGAGCACATTTGTATCAAAAGGGAAATTATTTCAAAGGAACAGGAAAAGCATACGTCTGTAGTTCTTAATAACTTATCTGCCAACACGTTTACAGTTTCACTATTGATCAAACCTTATGAACTTCTGTTCATAAGGTGACTCTTGTCCGTTTGTGAGAGAGAGAAAAAAAAAGCAGAAATAAGCTGTTTAAGAAATCTTCCGCAACTACTGTGCAACTACGGGATCTGCTGTACTAATAAGCCTGCATGATCACCTGTCACAAAAATCCACCTGCTCCATTACGTACACAGCTCTGAGAATTTCTATAGATGCTTCCTTCGTCTCAAGCTGGGAACCAGTTACTCCATCTATAAACAACTGATTTCATCTTAAAACCATCCGTGTAATGGAGCCCAGATTAGAAATAATGAATTCCACTGGGGATAAACAGTCCCGTCGTAGGCAAGTTCGCTTTTACCAGAGAAAAAAAATAGAGCAGTCTGGGAAAACCGCTAAAGAGGTCACATTAATCCAATCAAACTCTTCTTCATTAATTAGTCTACTTCTAAAAACAGAAGTGGACACAGTCGCTGAAGCACATTGGAAAAAAGAATAGGTTCATGCGTCGCTGAGTAATAAATTCAGAGCTAACAGTCTGCGCCTAAAAATAACCTCAGCAACATTTTTTTTAGTGTGGACCCCCTCACAGTGAGTGCGTTTAAAAGCGCTGAGTTCACGTTTCTCCTCTAAGCAGTGGCTCGAGGAAAGTTTCTCTTGTGCTGGAGGAAAAAATAGTTTTTAAATTCCTGTTATCCACTCACCCTTTCCAGTCGTCAGTGTCCGTGTCACTGAGACACGCCAGGAGTGGGTTTGCCTTTGAGGTAGGATTAGAAGACACAACTGCGACGCCGAACAGCGAATAACACTTTATTTTTTTCTCACTGTTGAAGAGCAACAGCGGCTACGCGCATGCATCCGCACTTACGTGCAAGTGAAGGAAGTGCTTTCCTTTCAAAATAAACAGACCCGCGGCGAGTTTAGCCGACTGTTTGTTTTACTTTGAAGGCTACACCTTTGTCCTTTCTGCCTTAACGCGGATAATTTTACTGTCGAAGAATTTCCGTAAGACCGTCATGTGACCATCGAGAAAGACTGGACAACCCAGTTAGTTTTCATCCACGTTCCCCATACACCGCTTACTTTTTACATACAATACCAAAAAAGAAAAAAAAAGACTGAGCAGTGGTATTTCTTCAACTTCTGCTGTTGCAAATACTCTACTTAAAGTCGGCGTGTTTTGGAGAACTAAAACCATCCCCATAACCCTCAATGGGACTGCTAATAAAATTTTACACTGTATTTTTATTATACTTTTTTTCTGGGTTGGGGGGGGGGGGCATCAATAAACAAACAAAATAAATACCAAATAAACAAATGACAAGTATTATAACCAGTAATATTTAAGTAATATTTATTTGTACAGGTTTCTGTCCAGTGTACGGCTCCACTAGGTTGTGTTTCTGGGTTTAATATTATAAATAGGTTACTGCGTTTATAAACAGAAATATATTTGAACAGATTTGATTTAAAAAAAATTTAACTACGATTGTAGAACTCAGACAAACCAGCAGGGGGCAACCAATCAACACAAGATATTGAACTTAAACATTTATTTTCTTATAAATAGAAAAGAGGAAACCATGTTTAAAGCAGGAAGAGAATCTAACTCAGGCTTAAATTATTAAAGATGATCCCAGTGGTTCCATTTTTAGCAAGATTCACGAGATAAGGGTGGGAGGCATTACATTCTCATCATAAATCATGATGCCCCAGTTGGCTCCATGAGCAAAACACATCACGCTGGGAGGTTACGTGAACAAAAAAAGGTCACATGTTAAGCTCTGTCAAACCTTTAATACTACTGTTATCTAGGTGTGTGTGCATCTCTCTGTGCCTGTGTGTCACTTGTTGTTTAAGTGTGCTGGGAGAGTCATAGGAGAGGCCCCATCACTCAGGGGGTGGATGAGCAAAAAGGGTAATACATCTTAGTCTTCAGGAGCCAGACTGAGCCAACAAGTCACTGATGTGGGAGCCTGTTACTCATTCCAATTAGGATCTACCGTAAGGATACAGCGGGGGGGACTTAACTGGAAAGGTTAGCCAGAGGATAGGACATGGAAAGAAACAGGGACAAAAAGGGGAGAAAAAGATAGTAAGTGTTGTTAAGAGAAGAAAACAGCAGAAACAAGTGATAAATGGGCGAGCTGGGAGCAGACCAGGATAGGATGGGAACAAATGAAGGAGAACAAATGGGTGAGATAAAGGAGAAGGAGAAAATAAGAAGAGTGGAGGTAAGAGCAGCAAAGGAAGAAGAGCAGAGATGGAAAGGAAGAAGAGAAGAGGGGAAGGAGGAAGGGGAAAAGAATGACGCACAGAGGAGGCTCAAAGAAAACAAAGAAGTCTGGATGAGGAGAAGATCAAAGGATAGATGACAGGGAGAAAAGAGGGGGGTAAGGGAAGAGGAGAAACAGGGCAGAGAAGAGCAGAAATTGAGGAGGAGAGAAGGGGAGAATAGAAGAGACAGCGAACGATGGCGAGGAGTTGAAGAGGGGGTGGGGAGGTGATGAGTCATCACCAGGCTATCAGCCCCGGTGGGCCGGGTTGCTGTGGGGGTGGCAGTGTGACACATATGCAGAAAACGCACACACAGGGAGACGTTGCCCGCCGTCATGCTGCTTAAACGTCTCCTCCTGCTGCAGAGGCGGGTGGAAGACAATACAGGGATGCCACTGAGACATGCAGTTGTGCATATGCAGCCCTTTCCTCTGACACACACATGCATATAATGTGATGGCTGTGCCAGAGGCCTCATTAAGACTGCGAGGATGGATGGATGGTCATAAGGGCAAACAGTCAATACAGCTGTATGAAAAACAACACAAAACAAAAGGAGGAGCACAAGCGCTGTTTACACATTGTGTGTCTCTGACTATTTCTCATATACACTTTCCTCCATCATTCATACTTTATTAGGCAACGCATATGCAGAGGCGGATGTTGTATTAAAAAAAAAAGGAACAGATAAAGAGGAAGATGCACAAGTAACACGGCCACGGTGTTACATAAAAAGTTCACCGCTTCGCTCCTCTCACTGCGGCACTATGGTTTGCTCAGCTGCTGTGCTAAGAGTAATATCAAGCTCCTTCTTCTGTCATTTAATTAGCTCATCACAAGGACACCCTTCAATAAATCAAATCACTTCCTCTGTAACACGCGAGCTCCTGTCACTCTGCATCTCTTTTTTAGTGCTGAGTCGATTTCAGAGTTGCCATGCCAACAGATTGAGGGGATTCCTAATCCTGATCTGGGCCAGTGAGCGCGCACATACGCTTCAAATATGCAAACGTTGGACGCGGCGCGTGCAGGCTGCGTGACGTGGTGTTTCTCCCCTTCTAATCGCGGCACGTCGGTTTTGTGTGCACGTCTCCCGGCAGATTGTGTGAATGGGAGCAGAGCCACCAGTTGATTGGGTGGTGATTCTTTAAATTCTTTCAGCATCACTCCAACTATGCAAACCTGCAGGCGACATCAGCCGCCAACCCGAGGCGAGTTCGGCACCAAACAGACACACAAACACAGAGAAAAAAATACTCGGATCACCAGTGAAATTTGAAAACCTCTGTAGGAATCTGTATTTAATCTTGAATTTCTACATACATTCATCCATCTCTGGAACAGAGGATCAGACAGTACGTGTGAGTGTTGAATGCGCGCGTGAGTGTGTGCGTGTATGTAAGATAGACGTGGATGCAGGTTGGGGTGGGTTTTCCAGCTGCCTTCTGCACACCTGCATATTTATCATGTGCTTACAAAATGTGATGGAGGCACATAACATTGGACCGAAAGACGATGATAGGGGGGAGAGGGTGTACACATGTGAAGGCATTAGTGTAGCATAAATGTGTAATCTTGCGCTGAAGTGTGTGACTGGTGGCTAAAAGAGGGCAGTTTAATTCTAATAATTCAGTCATATTTTGAATGACAGCAGAAGGCGCACTGTCAGGTTAGTCTGTAAACATTCTGACATGAAATCTTACTGAAAACATATTCAGCTGCAATGACCTGCATAGGTCCCAATTAGAAAACCGACTAGGCTAAAAGTTCTCGAAATTTAGTTTGAGTGAAGCTGTTGTATGTTGTGAGTTTGTGTTCTCACATTGCGCAAGTTAACGTGTGACTGTCCGTCTGCATGAATGCTTACCTATATGTGCCTACTGATATGCCTGCATATGCACTATGCATGTACAATATTGATACAAGTACCTGTATGTATGTGTGTATGTTTACACATACTTACAAATAGAACCACATACACATACATGTCATGATGCATGTTACAGGCATTTCTCCATCCCTGCTTGAACGTATGAGTGTGTGTGCTGCTTGTGAATGTGTGTGTGTCAGTCGCTGTCTTCTCTTTCATGGGCCTCAGCCAGGGAGCTCTCATCAATATTCTCCAGGCTCTCTGCCCGCTGGATGCTGAGCTCAGAGAGCGGGATGCTGGGCAATGTAGTCTGTTCTGGGTAAAGCCACGGCTTGAAGGCAGGGTTATGTCTCTGCTTCCACTCTGGATACTTCACACAGGCTTTGCAGATCTTCTTCATGGCCTGGAAAGAACAAACAACAACAAACAACAAAAGAAACAACAACAACATGTGATTTATGAGAAATGATGGCAGTGATAGAAAGAAAGTATTTCCAGCAGAAAGCTTGGCCGACACAGATGCTTGATCAATATTCTATAAGGAAGAACAGGCTGAACTCAACAGAGATGAAAAATCCAGAGGACAGAAATAGCACCCATACAAAAATAGAGATGAAGATGGATGAGTGACAGGATAAAGGGAGACAGAAGGGAAGCTGTGAGAGATGGAGGAATCTATAAACATGGGCAAGGGTAAAAAGAGGGAGGAGATCTTGTTCAGAGCCACAAGAACAGAGAGTTTCTTTTTTCCAAATATCAGAACCAAACAAGGGAGCTTCACACATGTCTGATAGTACTTAATGCCAGAAACAACATGCCTGTATGCTTTTTAAGGGTAAAAAACACAGAGCAACGTGTCTCATACAAAAACAATGGTCCAGGAAGTTACAGCAGCACCCAGTGCATGGCAAGACAATCATCCAGAATATATCTGGATATCTTTGTAGCTGCAGAGACCAAAAAAATTAAAAGCTAAAAAGGCAAAAAGAAGCAATTGTGTATTTATTCAATGTACATCACTCAGCAATTTTTCTTTTAACTATTAGATAATCCTATGATTTGCATATATCTTCTTCGCTGCAACCACTCTCGCTTAAGGGCAGCCGCATGTTTTAATAAAAATATATCTACCAAAAAGGAAAGCAATACTATATACTGTAAGGCCTGCAGTATTTTGACAATGAATTGATTTAGCCTCTGTGCACCATCTCGGTGGATTTCAAATCAAAAATGATGAATCGGATCTGCACTTCAGCAGTATCTGAGAAAAGTGCCGACTTTCAGACTTTCAGCTTTAATTCAAGGTTAGCAAAAGTATTGCATTAACTGTTTCCTTTACTGCCACCACATTCAGCTGCTGCTTGTTGCCACTGAAGAATATCCCACGTCTGTTCTGTAAGGCTTCACAATCCATGCTACTGCTTCTGTCAGCAGTCAAGCACGCCCATGCCATAGCATATCAGTGGTTTGCACCTTGTTGTAAACTCTCTGTATTTACATTGTCCTTGACTTAGTTAGACGTTATGAAGCTGTTTTTCTTAACCATGTTGTTGAGCTGCTCAGTGCATTCCTTCTTTTTAAGAATTCAACAGATTGTTGATTCAGCCACTGGCACGGTTATCTCTTTGGACTTTATTTTGAGAGCCTCAGTGTATAGCAACCAGCCAACACTTGGAAATAAATAGAGGTATTTTATTTGCTTAATTTGT